GGAGCTGGAACAAGCGATGGGAGCTCACTCCGTCGCGTGGATTCGATCTTACAACTGCTGGTCTTCTGACCCTGCAGCATAGGCTTCTGGGGTTTAGCCCACAGCGCCACCACTTACCTTTTCTTTATCTTTATCTTTAGTGCAATCTATTTTTTTCTCTCCTTCCATTCACTGACTTTTTTTCTCCCATGAGAAGGGCCCAGACAGGCCTTTGGATCGTTCCAGTCCCCTTCCCCGTCTTTTCCTATGGCCATTATTCAGTGGGCTGTGGCAACTTCTCTCTCTCTCTCTCTCTCTCTCTCTCTTTCTTGGTTAAATAAAGTGACAAATAAAGTGACACAGTGAAACAGCAATGCATCTACCTGGCATGATGCATATAATACCACATATGCATCTCATTCAACTAGAAATGGAAAAGCCATGCTTTTAAAAAAAAAAAGCCATGCTTAAAAAAATAAAGAGAATGAGGATGTTAAAAAATAACAATGGTAGGAGAAAAGATTTCTCAAATCCCCCTTTTTTACCTTGCCTCTGCATACTGCAATATTTGCAGGAAGCTGGGAAAACTGCTGCAGCTCAAATACATCTCGCACTGCCCAACGACTCATCTGATTTTCAGCTTTGCTGGAACCCACCACATTTTGATTTGAATGAACATAGGACACTTCAGCAACATCACCTAGTAATTGGAAAGGGGGGGAGGAATTACAGTTTACATGGTGAAAGAATGATGATGACCATTAAATGTAAATCTAAGTCACACAGAGTTCTAATTCTTAATTTTAATTACTATTCATTCACTCAAGCAGCAAAATAGATGTTTTAACATATAATGGTAAAGTTTTAGCCATTTAAAAAAAGATGCTCTTTTCCTAAGCAGAAAAAGGGAAATTTTGTTTGAAAAGCATTGACATTATGGCAAAGTACCGTATTTGCCGGCGTATAAGACGACCCCAACATTTCCACTCAAAATCTAGCATTTGTTATATACTCGCCGTATAAGACTACCCCCTCCCTCTGCCTTTTACCTCGCCGGAGGGGGCCAGAGAGGGAGGAGAAGGAAAGCAAGTTTCTGGGTGGGTTACCAGCTGGCCCGAGGCAGAGGCCAGCGCCTGCTCGCAAGCCCGGCCTCCTGAAGTCTCCTCGGGAGTCTGGTGCAGCGGCAGCATTGGTGATGAGCGGGGCGGCGCTGGCTTGTCGCAGGCGCTGTTTGCTTGCCAGCTTCTCTCCGCCTGGGCAACATGGTGGTAGGTCACGGGGAAGAAGGAGGCAGAGCTGCTGCTTTCCGCGAGGGTAACTGTGTGAGGAAGAAACTGAGCCGGTGGGGACCGAGCTCCACCCGCTTCCCAGGCTGGGCTCGCCTCTCTATGCTGCTTCCTGCTGGGCCATGCGGCGCCTGAGAGCCAGAGTCGCCCGCTGCCTCCTCGGGAGAAGAGGCGTCTCCTCCACCTCCTCCTCTTCTTCCTTCTCCTTCTCCTCTTCTTCGTTCACCTCTCCTCTTTCCTCCTTGCGCTACGTGCTGACCGCTCTGAGTGCACCCGGTGTATAAGACAACCCTCCCATTTGGAGGCATGTTTTTCAGGGCAAAAAAGTCATCTTATACGCCGGCAAATACGGTATTTCAAATTCAGTTCTAATAGCCATAAACGGGGTACAAATAACACAGTGTTCTGTGGGTTCTGTATTATCCAAATGTACCAAACAAACAGATCTACGCCATCTGCTGCTACTGGGATACGTTTGCTCGACAGCCAACATAAAATTATTGGATAAAAATTGTGTCATGTTATTCTTCTGGCAAATTAGGCTGCAGCAACACAGAAGTGACACTCTTGGGTTGTTAGCAGGTTGGCTCCGTTGGGGGAAATTGAAGTTTCTTCATTGGGTTCAGTAAAACAGAAGAACGTTTTTGTTAAATCAAAGCTAAGTTTAGACTACAATACAGACAGGTAGTAAGCCTGTCCTGAAATGTTTCGTGGTCTAATAAAGCTATCAACTGGCTGGGTTAGGTATCTGGTTGTGGAGCCAGAGGTTGGGAGTTCCCCACTGTGCCTTCTAGGGGAAGAGCCAGCCTGTGTGGCCTTGG